TATAGGCAGACGGGTTGCGGCAGCTGGTGAGAAGCATCCGTTTCTGTTCTGTCATGTACTCAAATGTGTCCTGTCTGTCCCGTAATGGACGTTCCTTGCTTGTTCCTCAAAATTTATGTTATTATTATTATCCATTTAATATCAGTTTATGTTGCTATGAAAAATTTCCTAGATGTATTGAATTTTGAGTCTTGCCTGCAATTGCCTTGGCAGGGCCAGACCAAATGATTCTGTGGGCCCTACACACTTATATAGTCACAGTCCGGACATTCCCCTCCCATGATCTAGGGGAAGATTGATGCCAAGACACTTGGAAACCTCAAATGAATGCCAGGCCCACAGATGTTGGAGGCAGACAAGGACCATTCCTAAGAGATGACCAAGAGAGAAAACCTTCCCTAGAGCTGATACCTGAATTTGAACTCTTGCTTCCTAAACTGTAAGAGATTAAATTTCTGTTAAAGCCGACCACTTGTGATACTTGTTATAGCAACACTAAATAACTAAGATCATTAAAAAACTAAGTAACGAAGATATCCCATGCAAGTAAAGTTTTACTGAAGATAGTGCAAAAATGGCTGCAACCATACATTGATAGAAAACTTTGAGAGTTTCAAGCCGAATTCGGACGAGGACACAGAATGAGAGATGTTATTGCTGACATCAGTTGGATCTTTGCTGAAGGCAGAGATTACTAGAAAGATGTTTACCTGTGCTTTATTGGCTATGCAAAGGCTTTCAACTGGTGTGGACCATGACAGGTTATGGATAACAATGTGTAGAATGAGTATTCTGGGAAACCTAATTGTAATCATGAGGAACCTATATATAGACCAAGAGGCAGTCATTCGAACAAAAGAAGGGGACACTGAATAGTTTAATATCAGGAAAGGTGTGTGCTAGGGTTTTATTCTTTCACCATACTTATTCATTCTGTATGCTGAGTAAATAATCCTCGAAGCTGGATTAAATGAAGAATGTGACATCAGGATCAGAAGAAGACTCATGAACAACCTGGGATATGCAGATGATACAACTTTGTTTACTGAAATCGAAGATCAAAGACTTTGGTATGGGTTGTACCTCACTGTAAAGAAAACAAAAATTCTCATCAATAAGTCACATCATGATAAAATGGAGAAAAAAATTGAAGTTGTCAAAAGACTTCATTTTGCTTGGATCCACAATCAACACTCATGGAAACAGCAATCAATAAACCAGACATATTGCATTGGGCAAATCTGCTGCACAAGACCTCTTTGAAACAAAGATGTCAGTTTGAGGACTAAGATGCACCTGACCTAAGACAGGGTATTTTCATTAACCTCATATGGAATGGGAGAGTTGGACAATGAATAAAGAAGACCAAAGAATTGATGCACTGATTTATGGTGTTGGAGAATATTAAAGATACCATGAACTGCCAGGAGAAAAAACAAGTCTGTGTTGGAAGAAGTACAATCAGAATGTTCATTAGAAGCCAAGATGGCCAGACTTTGTCTTTCATACTTTGGACATATTATCAGGAGGGACCAGTTCCTAGAGAAGGACATCATGCTTGGTAAAGTGTTGTTGTTAAGTGCAGTTGAGTCAATTCCAACCCATCGTGACCCTGTAAAGGGTTTCCAAGGAGCAGCTGGTGAGCTTGAACTGCCAGCCTTGCAGTTCAAATGACTTTGCAGTCTGATGCATTAGCTCACAGCGCCACACCAGGACTCTACGGACAGTGAAAAAGAGGGAGACCCCCAACAAGATGGATTGGCACAATGGTAGCAACAGTGGGTCCAATCGTAGCAGCAATTGTCAGAATAAAGGAATACTGGTGTGCTGCTGTAGGATAAGCACTCGACTGCAAGGTCAGTTTGAACCGCAAGTTCAATGGTTCAAACCCTCCAGCTGCTCCTTGGAAACCTTATACAGGGTCACTGAGTTCAAACGATTCAAAAGCACTTAACATCAAAAATACAGTGATAAACTTCAACTGACTGCTTTCCTTAGTCTGTACACCCTGTCCCTAAATTCCTTTTTAATCAATACTCTAAGTTGCTCTTTCAGTTATGGTTATGTCAGAGTTTATATATAAAGGCTCATGGCGGAAAGTTTCTCTTAGGTAATAATTTATTGTTGTTGTTGTTAAGTGCCATTGAGTTGGTTCTGACTCACAGCGGCAGAGTGGTTTCTGAAGAGTGGTTCTTGGGTTTGAACTGCCAACCTTGTAGTTCAAACAGATCTTGTGGTCCAGTGCTTGCTTATCCCATAGCACCACCTCAAGACTCCTCAGTAAGAATTTGTTGTTAATTGCCATTGAGTCAGTTCTGACTCACAGAGACCCTGTATAGGGTTTCCAAGGAGCAGCTGGTGAGCTTGAAATACTGATCTTGCAGTCTAGCAAATTAAGCCACAGCGCCACACCAGGGCACCTTGGTAAGAATTGTTGTTGTTGTTATGTGCTGGGGCATCGGTTCCGACTTATAGGGCTTCCCAGGCTGAAATCTTTATGGGAGCAGAAAGCCTCATCTTTCTCCCGCAGAACAGCTGGTAGTTTCGAAGGGCTGACCCTAAGGTTGTTGTTGTTGTTGTTAAGTGCCGTCGAGTCGGTTTCGACCCATAGCGACCCTGTACAGGGTTTCCGAGGGTGTAAATCTTTACGGGAGTAGAAAGCCTCATCTTTCTCCCGCGGAGCAGCTGGTAGTTTCAAACCGCTGACCTTAAGGTTTGCAGCCCGATTCGTAACTACTACGCTACCAGAGCAGCCATATTTGTAACCACTGCGTTACCAGAGCTCCTTACATGTAATATTCTGTAAAATCAAAAAACGTAAGTCTCCTCTGGGCCTCAATGGTCCCAATTGTAGCAGCTAAACATTCCAGAATTATCAGCTTTTTTCATTGAAATGACAAATGCCAGATCAAACATAAAACTGACTTGGTCATTTGGGGCTGGATTCTGTTATTCTGTCTTTGCTCCTTTTAGCAAATCAGTCAAATGTTGAATCTGTTTCATTTAAAAAGCCACTATAAAAACAGCCAACTTAACTTCACAGAACAACTAGTAACAGTAACTATGGCGCAGTTGACCCAAACGGTCACGTCTATGTATAACGTGATCATTGCACCTTATAAAGTTGTGGTGCATTTTACTAAAACCTGCTAAGACCGATAAAAGTGCAGTATCATACAATAATTTACCACAAATTAACAGAGTGTGACCAGAGGATCTTGGCCCCACGGGAACTGAGGTCACCCCTAGTCTACAACACTCATTGTGTCAGCATTCCCAAGGTCTCTGGAATACAAAGGGGGTCAGGACCCCACGCAGAGAGATTCAAACAGAAGAAACTGTGTCAAGTCCCCTGAGCTCCCACATGCAAGGGCCACCACCAGAAGAAAAGCAGGAATAGGCTGGGGGAGAAAGATTGGGAAAAAGGTCACCCACATCGTCATAGGCGCCCCAACCTTCCAGGTTAGGCATCTCCATACTCCCAAGACTTTGGGAACCGAACTCTGGAGCAGGCGGGATGGGGTGGTGGATTCCCACAGAGGCTGTGCCCGCTGGGGTCCGCTCCTAAGCCGCGGTGAATGGTGGGGGGTGGGGGGCAGAGGGGCGGGCGCCGCAGAGGGTAGTGGGGGAGGAAAGGAGGGGCTAGGTACTCCGCTGGCCCCCAGCCCTGTCGGCGCTGCCCTTCCTCCCCCTCCCCCTCCCTGGACGGGCACCCTAGCGCTTCCCGCCAAGGCCTGGCCGGTTCAAGGGGTGGCGCCAAGTCGTCGCGGCGCCAGTCCCCTAACTGTGCCTTAACTGCAACCCAGAAGGCGGAGCAGACGCGGCTCCAGCCTACGTTGAGGTAAGGGGCTGGAGGGTGACGCCAAGCATGAAGCAGGCCGCTTTCAGGTTACCCCAACACGGGTCACCTTCCCTCACACCCCACCCCGGGCCCGAGTTCCCGGGCACAGCCAAGACTGAGGAGCGGCCTTGACTGGGGGTAGCAGTCCCCAGCCCGGGGCTTAGGCCTCAGGCCTAGGCGTCATCACGCATGCGCGATCTCCCTGGCGGGGGCTGGGCATACAATTTCTGAGATTTTTGACTCCCGCCCGAGCTGTTGGCAAAGGTGGCGGTGCGCGTGCGCCAGTTCGATTGTGGGGGGTTTGTGCGCGGGAATAGTATCACACCCCCACTTGGACCGCCGTCCGAGGGTCGGCGCGGATGCACGAACTTGTTGGCGCGGTCTGGCGCCCTTTGATGGGCCTGTGTTTGGCTTTGTCCAGTAGACATCGCGCTTTCCCTCCTTGCCTTGTTCCTCGCTGCTCTCTGTTAAACGGGGGTTGTTGATGTATCCCTGTCACCTCTATTTTCCCAATGTGGGCCCCAAACCGGCTCGCCAGCTCCTTATCAGTAGGCTTTCTAGTATTGTGCTCATATCCACAGATTTCGATCATGGAAAGCTTGTCTAAAATAGGAACTGTGTAAACTGCTGTGGAGGGCAGGGGGGAATTCGCCATACATTTTTATTTTGAGCTGGAAAAGATGCTGCTTTTCTCAAGACGGGGATGTAGAGCTCTTGAGACTTTGAAGACTTTCCTAGTACGCTGCCCTGGCCCAGAAAGAGCTTCCTCCTTGGTTTGGCCGGCGAACTTAGAACAACCCTTTGTTTTTTTGGCTCTCTGCAAAATGACACGAAATGAAACTGTTAGGTCTCAAGACTTGTAACGAAACATATATGTCATAGAGTTGCTTTGGTGACCTAATATTTCTCTGAATAAAAGGAAGTCCACACACTCTACTTTGAAATGGTGCTTTTTTCCCTCGGACTGCAAAGTGACAGTCACTTTAGTGTCTTTGGAGCATGTCTAATATTAAATTCCTGCCTGGCATTACCCTTACTTATATGCGACTTTGTCCTTGGCTGTATGTCTTGTAATCATTTGTGCTGTTAAAGGTTCAGGGGCTGGAATAGAAACAGCCATTTTTGTTGTTTGTTGTTGTCGTAAAGTGCCGTCTGGTCGATTCCAACCCATAGCGACACTATATAGGGTTTCCAAGTAGCAGTTGTTGGGTACCTGCAAATCCATCTGACAACAGAGTGAAACGCTGTTTGGTCCTGTGTGCCATCCTTACAGTCATTGCTATGTTTGAGCCCATTGTTGCAACCACTGTATCAATCCATCAAGTTGAAGGCCTTCCTCTCATTCACTGACTCTACCAAACATTGTAGGATAAGCTCTGGACTGCTAACTGCAGGGTTGTCAGTTCAAACCCACTAGCTGCACCTCGGAAACCCTACACAGGGTCGCTGTGAGTTGGAAGTGACTCCATGACACTTAACCAACAACAACCAAGCAAGATGTCCTTCTCCAGAGACTGATTCCCTTCTGATGACATCGTCACCATCATTGATTCTACAGCATTATGATTGTACTTTTTCCAATTCAGATTTGTTCGTTTTTCTGGCAAAAATGAAATGGAACACATAAACATAGATATTTTAGGCATTAATGAACTGAAATGCACTGGTGTTGACCATTTTGAATCTGACATTCACATAGTTTACTATGTGGTCAGTGACAAATGAAGAGGAATGGTGTTGCATTCATGGGCAAAAAGAACATATCCAGATCAGTCATGAGGTACAACACTGTCTGTGATAGGATAATATCCATGCGCCGACAGGGAAGCCCAGTTAATACCAATATTATTTAAATTTACACACCAACCACTAAAGCAAGTGAGGATGAAATGGAAGAATTCTACCAACTTCTATAATCTGAAATTGATCAAACATGCAATCAAAATGTATTTATCATTACTAGGTGATTGGAATGCAAAGGTTGGGAGCAAAGAGGAAGGATCAGTAGTTGGAAAATATGGCCCTGGTGATAGAAATGATGCTGGAGAACACATGATAGAATTCTGCAGAATCAATGATTTGTTCATTTCAAATACCGTCTTTAGACAGCATAAGAGACGACTATACACATGGACCTCACCAGATGGAATACA